AACATGGAGAAGCGCACTGACAGCGCAGCGTCATACTTCCTGAATGAAAAGTGAACTTTAATACTAGTCAAATATGAAGAAGTTAAACTTTAAACATCCATGACTTAAACACTTTATCCAGGATAAAAGCCACATAGCTGCACCTGCAAGGTGAATACAGCTGGTAAAAGAACAAGTGTTTGAATGCATACATTAACAGGTTTATGATATCACTGCCCCGTCTAAGACACGATCTGACTTTAATTACATTTGTCTCGAGTGTTTCGTCAACTTAATGTGTTGCTTAAAATAATACTTCTGTGACACTGTAAGTGTTGCACGGCCAGATACGGCTCAAGAAGCTGACTCAGATAAGGAGATATACAGTGGTGTAGTGGGGATTTTTTTACTGGGGGGACGCTATTTTAATTAGGTAATCCCAAACAATGCCACACAAGTGCGCACGCGCGAAGTGCACTCACAACACGGGCAGACAGGCCCAAAGAAACTACCGACATGCTTAGTCCTATAGTTGCTGTACTGCAAAAAGTAGACAGCGCTGCGCTCAACACACACACAGACTCAAAACCATGGACACACTGGCATATAAATTACATAATGTGGTGACCACCTTTAATACACTGGGTTACATAATCCACACATGGAACTAGAGTTGGGGGTATTGTTTCCACACGGACATATATGTGGTTACCTTTATATGTTGTGTGCCCTCCCGGCTCTTTCTCTTGTTGTCCCGGGCTGCGACCCAACAACACCTGCATTTCTGCTGCTCATTAAAGACAGTTTTGCACCTTCGATGCACCGCCTCCGACTCCCTTTCTCTCGGCACTACAATAAACAATGTATAGGCCTAAATTGCATAAACTACAGTATTGCAACTAAGCAGACGATGATCTGGACTTTAAATTATTCTGATTAGGCCTAGCCTACATTGCACATAAGCAGACAGTGCTGCGCTGCATTTCACACACACACACACACACACACACACACACCACACACACACACACACACACACACACACACCACACACACACACACACACACACACACACACACACACACACACACACACACACACCTTGCGTTTGGAAGACTGATAAATCCGAAATGGATGAACAAACTTTGCAGCCCAGTTTCCCAGCTTTGCAGTCTCCACGGGTATTCCTCTTGTTTCCTCCGCCGCATCTCCTCCGTCCATACCTCTGGGAAAGGTGAGCTTGAGCTAGCCAGGGGAACGTTGCTAGCGCAGCTAACGTTGACGTTATTGCTAGCATTATCCACGTCTTTAGGCGGCTCTTCTGATGATGTAGTACTAGTAGCAACTTCACTTGTAGCTTCGGTGCTGCTAGTTTCTTTCTTCTTGTGAATTATATTCTTTTTAGAAAATAAGTCAAGTAAAAAATGTTTGCCTGCCATTATAGAGCTTTTTCGTTAGCATTCTTGAGGGAAAGAGCTACCGCAAAATCGGCGGGCAGTGAGCTGGCTCGCCGTGGGTGTGTCAGTGACACACCCCCAGCTCGCCGCGGGGTCATGAGCGTGATGATGAATCATAATTCTTTAAGGAAATTGTTCTTATTTTTTATTATAATTACTGTGAAATGTATTATGTTTTTGTCATTATTACAACAAATACACACTTGCAACTGATAACACTGGCAATGATTTTATATTTATTAGACTATTAAAAAAAAGATTGTGCTCCAAATAAGTGGGGGTACGGCGTACCCCCGCGTCCAACGCCCACTACACCACTGGAGATATATGATACATTATGATGTGATATGAATGATAATGGGACACATCGACGTCTGCACTCAGTGTACTTATGTTGTGGCAGATATTTAAGTAAGCTTTCTTAACGCTAATGTTATAATAGTCAGATTGCTCTGAAGATGGGAGGTGATATTCTATTAATGTTCACGTTCACACAGTCGGTGATTTTTGCCGGCCGTCTTTCCTGCAATGGCAGTTTTTCTGTATTTCCTTTCTCCTGTAATATGACTTGATCACTTTAAACTCCGCACACTGAGCTCTGATTGGTCAGCAGGCGGTGCTTTCACTGAGTTGATCTCTTAGCCTGCAACCTAACCTGGTCCCGACCAGGTTAGCCCGCTAAGCATAAGTTACCATGGAGATCTAGCCTGCTAAAAAGAGAACCAGCTTCGTAGGACCGGAAAGCCGGAGTTTTCCCTGAATTTAGCCGGCTAAGCGAAAATCCTGCTTCGTAGTATACCCCCCTGGTCTGACAAGTGAAGCCAACATACAAACAAAAACAAAAAAGTGAAGACGCTGCATCCAACTTTGATTCTTTCAAATAGCCAATGTGGAAACTCCACTTGTTGCAAAAAGAAGTCCAAATGCATTCTATGAAAAACTGACTTCTCAATTGATTTCACAGCCAAAAACAAAGTTTGGGACAGAGGAAATGCCAAACTGGAGGCTTCAAAATCATCGTCCAAATGCCAATGGGTGACATTCCAATTACTACATCCACTTATGACTGTACCTATGGGCAAAGGCACTGTGGGTACAACATGGCTGATGTATACCTTCTTAAAACTACAAACTTGGGGCTTTGATGGTTTCACAATGGGACCTCAGGAACTATGATCTAGTTGTGTTTCCTCCAACAAGTTTCCGATGGAAATTGTTGATAGTGAAGACAATTTTGATGTATTGGAAGAAAAACAAACATGTCTGCCGCAAATCTTTGGACTAAAACAGTTTGCTGTATGTCACAGTCAATGAGAAGTTACATGTCTGATTTATTTGTCATTTCACAACAAAGTGTTGCATAATGAAATAGTAGTAACCGTTTACTGCGAAACACACCATAAATATATAACATAAACACTGCGATTGCATGAGAGTAGTCTCCTATTTAGTAAACCGACAACTAAAAATGTTAAGTTACCAGGATGTAATTATTGCATGTGTAGTCCACCAAAGTTAAGTCAAAGAGGAATATATCAATGGGTGGAATTTGACTCTTGACTACAAATTACAACCTATGCGATAGGTACTTATGCTGGGACTCCCATTAGCATCATTCTAGCTTTAAAATAAAACAACAAGAGGAACTTGATGCAAAGCCTGGTTTTAAATGTCAAAGTAAGACACTTGTATAGCAACATCACCTGCCTTTGCTTTTAAGAGAGAACAGTCATTATGTACACAGCCACAGAAAAAGGTCAACCAACTGCTGTAGTATATCTGGAGACCACGGACGTCTCATCAAGAACACTTCTAGTGATTTAAAATAACACTAGGAAGTGTTGCATCTGATCTGACAAAGATTAGACAAGTGTAAGAGTATCTGAGATATATAACTTCACCGTTTAGCCAATGAGAATGCTTCTTTAGCAGTTAACAACACAAGCTAAATCATCTCATCTCAGCCGGAGAATAACATCTTTCTCTTTGCGATGCTAACTCTTACAAATACTCCATGTGTTTATCAAGACTTAAAATATTGCCTCATTCTTCCTCTTAGACTCAAGAGAATGCTTATAACAGTGCTGATGGGTGGTTTGAGCAGAGACTTATAGTCTGAAAGGCCCACCAGCCCTGCTTTACAATAACAACACCTAAAGCATCTGGGTGTTAGGCTAAATGGTCAAGTGTAATCCCCTTAGCTCCTGACCAGCATTAGCAGAAATTCCTCAATAATATGCAACATGATTTCATAGTGACTGCTGCCTTTGAGAGATGTTTGTAATACTCAAAGGGTCACGAGGGGCACAGACAGACAGGCAGACAAGGGGACTTAAGTGCGCTGCTGTGGGGAACAAGGTTCCTTTTTTTCTGTCGATTTCAGACTTGAGTCATTAGGATCCATTTTTCTTTAATAACAAAGAACGCAGCGGAGCACGGCTGAATGTTTTTACAGCTGATTATAACACCACACCTTTATCCACTCAACTAAGCTATGGGAAAAGGCATCTGTTGTAAACATTAAAACAAAATGAATCTGAATGTATACAACTGGTCTTTGTCATTTGTATTACGCAACTTAGTACTGGTGTATTTAATGAGATGCGAAGCCTCTTCAGTGGAGAAGATTTGACATTTTGTTATTGAAACAGACCTAAAATGTGTGAAAGGTAAATCCAACAGCTGCGTCACACACATAAGATGTACTGAGGAATGGTTGTGGCTATCCAGCTGTTTTCTCCACCTCTACCGATTCAGCTTACCATACTAAGTCAATACTGAGAACCAACTCAATATAAAAGCGCTTTTTTCCCAAATGTAAAATTCTCTCAAGATCTGCGTGTGGAAGTGATTAATCCGATATGTCTAAGCAAACGTAGCTGCAGCTACACATAAAAGCTTGATTATGGATGCGGATACACCAAAATCCTTTTCAGGCTTGTGCTCATTTTAATTATAGCCTAAGGTTATATGACAACACCATAATGCATTCAAAGCAGTACTTTTGCGTTTGAAGTATCTTTTACCTGCTAAGAAATTAAAGGGCACAAACATCTATATAAATACAGAACACCTTTTTCTAAATATATTTCTTTTTTTGAGACTGCCAAGAATATTGGGCAACTCAGGCAGAACACAGGTACGTTTTTATGACAACAAAAGAAAGATTGTGTGGGGTGCCACAAAGGGGATTTATAGGTCAACTCTCTAAAAGAATACACCAAGACTTGAGTGAAAAATAAGTATATACAGTCTTTGTCATTTGTCAAATAAGCATTGGTTTGGTGGTTTTATGTCCACAAACAAATTGCATGAAGAAAAAAACTCTTTCTGCCCAGAATCAGTATTGTCAATTGGTGGTCAAAGAATGCAAAGGGATCTTTCAATCCAATATGTTGAATTCCCTGGCAATAGGAATATGTTCAAAAATAATTGTATAACATATTTCCCCCAATTAGATCAGCACAAATGTAAGATCACACAGAAACAGAGAGATGATTCCAGACACTGCTGAAATGGAACAAATTGTAAAACAGCGCCAACTAGTAGAGCTTTGAACTCACCTGGGAGAAGTTGAGCCCATTGAGTGGATGGCACTGTTCCTCCACCTTCTCGACTGCCCCCGTCCTTTTCCTCATCCGCTCCGCCTCCTGGGCCAGGTACAAGTCTAGCACGGGCACCCCTCGTGTCTTAATATCTGCCTCTGTTAACGAATTGACCATCAGCATCACCCAAACGGGCCGCTTCCTCTCCCAGTTCCCAGCGATGGCGTTGAAGAGGTAGTCCGCATAGAGTCCCTTCCCTCTCTGATCTGGGGTCATCCATGAAGGCATCATGAGTTTGACATACTCAAGGTGTCTCTTGAGTCTCCGATAGATGTCTCTGGGCAGGACATCCTGCAGGTTCTCGCCCTGAGGCAGCAGCTGACAGCTGGTCAGGGCTGAGATTGTGTAAGGGTCCGTCAGGTCCAGCTCAAAGTAGACGATGTTGCTCTCCTGGAAGGCCTGCTTGGAGTTTTCAGGAATGAAGTCCCAAACGCGTGTGTAGGGAACATGGATTGTACCGTAGAAATATGAAGGAGGGTCCCGTTTGATCGTCCACAGGAAGGAGTTTAGGTCAGTTTGCTAGGAGGAAAGGGAAGAAGTAACAAATAATTATTGTCACAATCGAACAATCTGTTGATTATTTTTCTGATTATGGTTTCGTAGATATAAACCATCTGTTGTTAAACTAGAAAAGTTCCATCTACAGTGGTTTTAAAACACTAAAAGCAGGAAATCCTCAGATTTAAGAAGCTGGAACCAATTAATTTGCAGTGGTTGGTTAACCAATTTGTTTTTGCTAAATGTTTTTACATTCCAGCCCTAAATATTAGTTAGTCAGAACCAATTGATGGGCATGTGAAGAGAGATACATCAGGAAACAGGCAGAAAAGAGACAACATATCTTACTTAAAGTGTTGTCATTTATTTTACATGAACAAACACTGGGCCGGTCTCACACCAACCAGCAAATCTACCACTTTGTCTGCGAGAGGCTGTTTATTAGACTGACTGCTAACAGACTGATAATGACTTATTAACAGGCCACTTAGGACCCAAGTGCCAAAATAACAATACACATGTCAGTGATTGTCAGACTGTTAGGCCAGCGTGTTTTACCTTCCTGTTTCTGCCGGATCTGACCTGAAATGCTCCGGGTGAGTTTAAAGGACACGACTGACTGAGACTGAAAGGTAAATCAATAAGGGGAGGTTCTGAATCAGTTGTAAAACACAATGCAAAAGGACAAAGTAGGTCTCAAATGGCTGACATTCTCCTAAATACACATCTAGATTGTGTAACAAACTAACTGCCTGTTACTAAAAGCCAATACCCAAAATGAGAGCTGGATAGATAAACAGATAATCAATTACTAATAATATTGATATCCATATCATTTGAATTTCTTTAGTTTTTCAACAGTTCAAAACTTCTAATTTGCAGACATTTTTGGGACTTGTGATAGGCATTTTAAACCGTTTTGCCAACTTTTTGTACAACTTTAATGGATTATTTGAAGTAATATGATATACATAGTAATCCATCATTAGGCAACTAGTTACAGTTAAAAAAAAATCAGAGTTTAAATTGACAAGACTGATTAGTCCAGTATGCACTTAAAACACAGAAGTCATTTTAAGTCAACTTTAAGATGTGCAACTCAACCTTGTATTGTTGCACCAAATATTGTGTCCCTGATGTATAAATCATGACAAATATTAAAAAGAAAAGTTGCAGTGGACTCCTTAACTGACACTTAACACTGTAAAATGCAAGATAGCGTAGCATTTCTGAGAGTTCTAGAAAATTAAATTAAATAAAGCTATTTTTGCAACACCTAAACAGTGCAATTACTCATTTATTTTCGCTTCATAATCACTTACTTTCTTGTTCAGCTCGCAGTTGGCGGAGTCCTTCAGCCTCCACTGGTCTGCCCGGACCAGCAGTATCACACAGGACTGAATGAATGCGACCAGAGTGCCCCGCATCGTAGCTCTCTCCAAAGTGTGCACTGTGGCTTGTGTTCGCTTCACAACGTGTTGCACCAACTATTCCCCAGAAAGCATTGGAAGAAGTCTCCTTCTACATCCACAGCTCCGGCTCCATGCGGTCGCGTAAAACGAGCTGACAAGTATCCGACAGACCGCCGGACAGAGTCATGCTGGCCTGGGCGCTGGACATGCACGCGCTGCTGCTGTTTCACGTGTGTTTGAGAGAGAGAGCGACAGAGAGGTGGTCATCGGGAGTTTACGCAGGGTCACCCTCTCTCACTGCCGGTAACACTGCGCTCTCCACGCCTCATTCTCTTCCACTTCCTCCTGTGTTTCGCAAAGTTTGCGCTAACTTATCCAAAAGTTGTCCAGCCAACAGGTCCGCGCACGTGTCACCTGGAACCAAAATAGAGATGTAGGGTTTGTTTTTAGTTGTTTAGTTGGTGAAGATGAGCCTGCATGGTGTGAATGAGCAAACTACACCGCCGGGCTGCACTTTAAACAACCCACACTTCTCTGCTCACTGCTCTGTCTGCCTGCCTGCCAAGCACTCTCTCCCCCTCTCTTACGCGTGCGTGAGCATCTCTGTCGGGCGACTTCACTCTACCTACCCCTGTTGACTGCATATATACCCCTCCCTCCATCTTTGTCGCCCACTCTCTCTCTCTCTCCCTCACACACACACACACACACACACACACACACACACACACACACACACACACACACACACACACACACACACACACATGCACACACACAGGATTAATCTGATTAAACATAACCCCGCCTGCGACACGTAAAGTCTCCTGCATTGATTTTATTCATGTCAATAAACAAGGTGTGCAGACCTTTAGCATTCACAATAACTAAAATACATATTGTATCAATACACTCACTAGTTGCCTTATTTGTATCCCTAGTTTTAATTCTCAGTATTGTATCTTCAGTTTCAGACTGAAGTCTCTTGTTGTCACCCAATGGGAGGCCTATGGGCAATCAAGGGTGCCAGTGGAGATCCCGGGGATAGATTAGTGTTAATGCCTGACAAACTGGAGGCATTAACATGAGAAAACCCACAATAACAGCGCTTTACTCTGCGTTACATCACAGCACAGACAGACCACAGAACTCCACCTTTAATGGAGCCTAGTAGACTTCATGCGGGACAGGGCCACTCTTGCATCGGTTAAACAAATCTACATTTAGGCCTATAAGGAAGCATGTAGGCTGCCTTTGGTGACAGTCAGAATTATAAAAATGACTAGCACTGTTGATATAGGCTCCATGAGGAAAATCAGAAACAGAAACCGTTTTTGGTGCATACATAAACATAACAATAAAACAATGAAAAAAGTATAGGTCGTAATACAAATATAAAAAGGAGGGTGGTGCATGACTGACATGGAAAATGTGTTTCTAACCAATACACAACAAAATAAATGTATTAAAAACATCTAAAAGTATCCTGTTAAAATATGATCATGTTATTATTGTTCCAATGCCTATTTCATTATCACTTGTTGTGTTATAAGTAGCTAGGCTACATAGCCGTGAACTGGTACATGACAAAATAAAGAATAAAGCCATGCCCTCTCCCCTCAGTACCTCACAGATCGCCTCCACCCATACATTCCGTCCCGCACCCTTCAATCCTCAGACTCCGGACTGCTCTCCATTCCCCATTCACGCCTCCGCACCTTCGGGGACCGTGCCTTCAGTGTCGCTGCCCCCCACCCTCTGGAACTCCCTCCCCTTCTCTGAACATCTTCAAATCAATCAATCAATCAATCAATGTTTATTTATATAGCCCAATATCACAAATGTTACATTTGTCTCAGTGGTCTTCACAGTGTGTACAGATCAACCCTGAAAACTCATCTGTTCACCCCCCCCCCCTGCAATGTAACACTTCCATTTCTGCTCCCTGTTCTATGTCTTGTCCTTAAATGTTTCTTTGTTAAGCGACCTTGGGTTGATGAAAGGCGCTATATACATTAAAGTTGTTATAATTATTATAATTATTATTATTATTATTATTATTATTATTAAATACACTAATTTCTACTTGTTAAACCACTGATGAAAATTCAAAATATAAGGAAATAACTTAATCTCGTGAATGACATTGTATCAGAAAGCTTGCTTAATTTTTGATGAAGGTTATTTTTAACAGACAGTAAACATTCAGATTGTAGGCTACTCACACACTTTGCTGCTGGTGTGTAGCAGGAGGCAGATCTATGCGCTCTGGTTCTACGCTCTGCACCGTCAAACTCCTGGGGGGTATACGAAGCAGGATTTTCGCTTAGCCGGCTAAATTCAGGGAAAACTCCGGCTTTCCGGTCCTACGAAGCTGGTTCTCTTTTTAGCAGGCTAGATCTCCATGGTAACTTATGCTTAGCGGCTAACCTGGTCGGGACCAGGTTAGGTTGCAGGCTAAGAGCTCAACTCAGTGAAAGCACTGCCTGCTGACCAATCAGAGCTCAGTGTGCGGAGTTTAAAGCGATCAAGTCATATTACAGGAGAAAGGAAATACAGAAAAGCTGCCGTCGCAGGAAAGACGGCCGGCAAAAATCACCGACTGTGTGAACGTGAACATTAATAGAATATCACCTCCCATCTTCAGAGCAATCTGACTATTATAACATTAGCGTTAAGAAAGCTTACTTACATATCTGCCACAACATAAGTAACCGGATCAGAGTAACATTAAGTAGGCCTACTGTCCGCGGCATATCACTTCATAATGTATCATATTTTCTTATCTGAGTTAGCTGAGCCGTATCTGGCCTTGCAACACTCACAGTGTCACATACTGTATGCAGAAGTATTATTTTAAGCAACACATTAAGTTGACGAAACACTCGAGACAAATGTAGGCCTAATTAAAGTCAAATCGTGTTTTAGACGGGGCAGTGATATCATAAACATGTTAATGTACGCATTCAAACACTTTTTCTTTTGCCAGCTGTATTCACCTTGCAGGTGCAACTATGTGGCTTTCATCCTGGATAAAGTGTTTAAGTCATGGATGTTTAAAGTTTAACTTCTTCATTTTTGACTAGTATTAAAGTTCACTTTTCATTCAGGAAGTATGACGCTGCGCTGTCAGTACTTTCCATGTTTCTGATTGGTCGAATGCTCCAGATACCACTCCTTTCATGTGAACGCGCACCTAACTAGATAGGAAACGGCTGGCTTGAGCGATCCACTTGATAACCCGCGTCGTAGTACAGTTTAGCGAGAGCGCGTATGTTTTGGATTAGGCCAACCGGCTAACTCAAACATATCCAGGTTAGGTTGAACCAGCTTCGTAGTATAGGCCCCTGGTTCACACGGGGCAGCTGTTGGTGTTGTCAGACGTCTGGGTAAATACAACACGTTTTGTTGACGCAAAGAACGACCCCGGGGCTTCATTCTGCAGACAAAGAACAGGCTGGAGAGACTATGATGAGGTTTGGTGGCTGGCAAGACAGAAATATGCATTTATAGACGATCTCACATCTGTGGAATTATTCATTATTATACCTCTGATAAGGGATGGACCACATTGACCTATTTTAACATTGGAAGAAAATATCAACGAGGAATAAGATACATACAACACAGGAGTATATTATGCATAATGACTGTTTCCAATTCTCCAATGTTTCTGTTCAGGTGTAGTCTACTTGAGACCCATGACTTGAATAGGGCCCATCATAGCTCCCCCTAGCGGACACACATTATGTTACCCAGCTGTGCTTTACTCAGTCTTCTCTGATATGTCCAACTTTAAAGGCACAACTACTCTGCACTTTGTCTACATTTCACCGGGTTCAGTAATGTCATTCTGAGGCACTTGGAACACAAGGGAAAAAAGAGTAGGCAGAAAGGTGAAAGTGAGGATGGAGGGCACAAAGACTAATCACAAACAGGGGATAAAACAAAGCAGAGAATCTGATCTGATGACTTCATGATGTAAAATAGGCCTAGTGTCTCTCTCAATCTCAATTTCTTCACAGTCTATTTCACTCCCAGATTAGAAAGATATAGCTACTCTACTTCTCTTTCCAGAAGATCTCACTGCCAGATTCTGTATATGTATGCTTATAAAAACGTTGGCGAACAGACATTAAATTAAAGCATGATACTGCAACTGCAAGGCTTTTCCTTTTTTGATAGATGGTTCAGAGGAAATGTGTAAACATCAGAACAGTGAATTAAAGAAAGGTGATTTTGTCCAATCAGGTTGACTGAGCAAGGAACTGAAATATCAAACATGTACAGCCTTCTTGAAATTACTTCTGGCACAAGGTAATGTATCCAAGCTGTAGCTAAACAAACCAATAAAAGAGCCAAACATAGTGTGACAGCTCTGTGTGTGTGTGTGTGGTGTGTGTGTGTGTGTGTGTGTGTGTGTGTGTGTGTGTGTGTGTGTGTGTGTGTGTGTGTGTGTGTGTGTGTGTGTGTGTGTGTGTGTGTGTGTGTGTGTGTGTGTGTGTGTGTGTGTGTGTGTGTGTGTGTGTGTGTGTGTGTGTGTGTGTGTGTGTGTGTGTGTGTGTGTGTGTGTGTGCAGAAAGGTAAAAAGAACACCTGCAGCTGTTTCCTGTTTGAGAGGTGTTTGAACAGACACACACACACACCTGTTTTCTATTTTCATTATCTCCCCTCTCATCCTCTCTCTGTGTAGCATTACTTGTGTCTGAGGTAAGACCTGTAAACTGAAACCACATATTTCAGCTCTTTACAAAAAAAAAAAGGGGATCAGGAGGAAGTCTGGGATCGCGAAGCGAACAAGCAGCGCATCACAATGTCACACAGCGGAGCAAAATGTCTCTGATAGCTTACAACACATGTAAGGGGGGCTAAAAATGATCATTTGCAAGTTTAAAAGTGTTTTTTGCCAGGTAAATAAAACCTGTGTGATAGCATTTGAGTTTGGTTTTTATTTATTTAAGTGAAGGCCATGTCGTTGTTGTCCTGTTTTTAAAGTAAATTAAAATATTAAAATAGGGGACATTCTATTTCAAACAGCTGAAGCAAAAAGTCCACATTTTTTATGTTTTATTATGCATTTCCATTCTGTGTTAGCTGGGCTGTTCACATGGCCTATAATGAAACCTGTTAAAAAACAAGCGAAATCAAGAATGATCCATAACCCATTTCACTCAAGCATTTGAATCCCTTTCTATTACACTATAAAAGGGAGGTTTGTTTGAAGCCTGTTATGGGCTTCAGTGACCCCTGTCAATACTGATACTGCAGTACATCTGTACATTTCCACTTTAAAGCGTCGCTGTTTGTGAAGATCAAGCAGCGCTGGGGTCTTCTGAGGCTCCTAAGCAAACATCTGATTCTGCCTCTTTAGAGAGATCTTCAAACGGATTTCAAAATATGGAAATAGCCACATATGTTTCATTTTATAAAGACTGGGATGTGTTTGATCCTGTCAGGCGACCCACCCTGTCCGTCTTTTAGGAATTGTAAAACGATAAAATGGTGACAAATATCTACATTATTTGTTCTTATAGTTCTTGAAACAACCCTGATCTTTGATTGATTATAAGCCTAGGAAGTGTGTCTGTATGCAAGTGCTCCCA